TCCAAATTACTTTTATATTAAACAAAAATGTGAATCAACGATGATAATTGATTCTTTTGATGGTGATGAATTTATTGAATTGAAAGATCAAATCGATTATTTCCAGCCAATGATAAAACAATTAGCCAAAAGCTGTGAGGTTGAGCTTCGGGATGGTTTTTATGTCACGAATATTATTACTGGTGAATGTCCATTTTGTCTAGACTATGTATAGAATGGTCCGTTTTACGATGTGTGCAAACATTGTCACGCTGCACGAATTTTTTCACAAGGGAATCATCCTAATATTATACAAGAAACAAAAGAAAAGTTGGTGAATTATTTTAAAAGTAAAGAAAGAACAATTTCGGCTGACCAAAAAAATAGTTTGATTTATAATGAATCTATGGAAGTCGCGTATCAAGAAATAATTCGCTTATATGATTCTGAAGGTATACATACATTCTTTGCTAATGCGATATTACAAATTTATAAATAAAAAAACTAAATTGTTTATTACTACTATTCTAGGTGTGCATATCTTTTATCCAAGAAAGAATTCAAATATTTGTAGTGATCCATTTCGACCAGTAGAATTAAATCAACAATCAACAAATAATGGAGCACCTTCAAAATCATCTGCAAAACCGCGTAAACCTAGCCGCATATTACGTGCAGTTCCTGACAATATAAATAATGAGATTTCTCCTTCAGAACAAAAAAGGAAAACAATGAATATTAGAAAGGCTAAGCGTGGACCCAAGGTAATTCTCTAATACGTAAATTCAAGATATTACCACTTGTTATTAAAAGTTTATTTTTAGGAAAAGCAAAAAGAAAATGTCCAACCATGCTCTAAAAAATCAAAATTATCGGTTGAGACCTTTGAAAATACTACTCAACAATCAACTGCTAAAGTACCGCAACAAGTTAATCTTGAAAATCATACAATAGTCGGAACTGACCAATTTATGTCTCAAGAATTTGTGGAAAAATTTAATGTTGCACGGCAACATGTTTTAGATATTCTTAAACGTTGAGTATACGGTTATATCAAAAATAACACTGCTTTAATTTACAATGCATAATATAACATGCTCTAAATGTAATATCGTGATTTAAAATAAAATGCTTGCAATTAATTGCTGAACTAAAATTTGTTAAATATATCATGGCCTTAAAATAAGGGTTCAAACAAAGACACAAAAATTATGCGATTTAGTGTGATTAAACCAATTTGAACTAAATCACATAATTTTACATCATTATATCAATTTCATATATATTTATTATCTGCTTGATTTAGCCTGTATATTTAAATACGATTAATATTATATTAAAATGTGGAATAAATTATCTTTTAATAATTAAATAGCGTTTTAGGTAATGTGTTAACGTTTAAAAAAGTTGAGCGCAGTATTTGAAAAGTTGAGTATTTAGAAAGTTGCAAGTTTTTAGTTGTGTGCAGTACGTATTTAAAAATATATTCAATACGTATTTGTTATAAAACCGAAAAAATCGTGGTATTGCAGATCCCTTTTTTTTATGTATACTTGAAATGCATCAAGAACGTAACCCCGATTTGGATGCATTGTCGATCTATCAACTATATAACCACAGGTATATCAACTTTGAAACTTTTGCCACAAAGTCATGTAATAATCACGTGTTATACAAAACCAAAAGTGGAATCTTATTGTATAAATAGAAGTTACAAAAAAGACAATTATTAAAATTGTGTGATATTAATTAAAATAAGGCAATTTTAGTGTAATTTAAAAAGTATCATTAGTTTTTAAATATTGTAAAATGTGGGTGGCACAGCTGAAGTGGCCTTAGTTATATGAAAAACATCTCTGGTTATTTGGAAAAGAGAAAAATTTCCAAAGTAACAGAGAAGAGGAAAAGTAAACGGAGTTAAAAATTGTTTTGCTTGTAACTTAGTCAGTTTTAAGACTATAGAGGTCTATTATAGCTTGTTTTGAAGAGAAAAATGTGTAGAGTAACTTGAAATATGCTTTGTAATAAAGTTTAGAATCTAGATTTTGCGTAAATAGCAAAAGAGGCTTATTTGGTCTGGAGAGCTGTTGCTTAAAAAGTTTAAGAGCTAACTCTTTAAAATTTAAGTATTATATGTAGTTTTCTATATAAAGAAAGTTTTATTAGAGCAAGAAATAATGCTGTCTTAGTAAATTATTGCAAAAATAGAATATTTTTTGAGTTGTTTTTTAGAAAAATTTTTATACGAGTGATTGATGGGAGAGTTTATCTTTGGCAATCGATATTTATATTTGTAAATATATATATATATATTAGTATATATAGGGAATGCCTATTTCCACCATGGTAATTTGCAATTTCCACTATGAGTTACACAAAGATTTACAAGATTTTCTATTTTTAGTATTTATATAGTAAAATTTAGTTTTTTAAAAATTAAAAAATTTTTTAATAAGTAAACTTTTCTTCTAGCTCTAAGAAAAGTTGTAAAAGAAATTTTTCTGGTTCTAATGGTGGTTAGATCATTAAAATCGGCCTGGTGGATCCCAAGATATTTGGGGTTAAAGGCGCAAACATAAAGATTTACAAATTCACTGTTATGCAAAGTATTATGGTTTATAATACTTTGTGTAACAGTGAATTTGTAAATCTTTATGCTTGCGCCTTTAACCCCAAATATCTTGGGATTCACCAGACTGATTTTAATGATCTAACTATCATTAAAACCAGAAAAATCTCCTTTACAACTTTTCTTAGAGCTAGAAGAAAGGTTTACTTATTAGTTTTAGGGTTAGGGTTAGAGTAATATTAAAATTTAAAACTAAAGTTAGGGTTATATGTATTTTTATATTATTATCTAAAAATAGAAAATCTTGTATAACCATGGTGGAAATAGCAAATTACCATGGTGGAAATAGCAATTCCCTAAAAATATACATACATATTCGAGTCTTTATATTAATTGTTACAAATTCAAATTTTAATACAGAAGAATATAATTTTACCTGCCATAAATTGAACTTCATTATCTTTATAATCAATTGAATTAATTAAATTAGTAATTATCATAGTATCGCTTAAATAAATAAATTAAAATTAAAACAAGTTTTAACCTGTATTAGAGTGCATTAATGGTGTAGATGTAGATTGAACTTCATTCATTGAATTAGTAAATATAGTATTATCTATTTAATATAAATAAACATATTTAGTATATTAATTTTTATTTATAAAATATTAAACAAAAATCAATTATGTAAAAAACAAGTTTTAATTTATAAGAACTTAATTTACCTGCATTAGAGTCTTGTTGTGATAATAAAAATAGAAAAGGATAAACTCCTTGCCGCTGAATATTCTTAAAAAAAGATATATTAATTGTAAATTGAGATGCTTGAATTAAATGTTTGCATAAAAAAAATCAATTGATTAAAAATCTTTGATATCCACTAATCCATTTTTCGACATCAGTTCATAATTATGATTAATTTGCTTTTTGCTTAACATAATCTATTCTTTTTTTAAGTTTTTTTGCCAAAAAGATATTTTGCGTTTACAATAATATTTATTATATTGTTGTCTATGGTGTGGAATTAAATGAGTAACAATAATATATGTTAATAAATCAAGGCATAGTCTAAAAAATTTTGGTAAGAAATCCCGCTTAAGAACTTTCCAATGAGATTCACATAATATAGTAGTACAAAATATGCAAATATTGTTATATACAGAATAGGCCCACAGATTTCAGATTTCTTTATAGTACTAGTGTTCCTATAAATAACTTCAAAGAAGTCTTAAATCATGATTAATACAAAATTCAAAAATTTCTTTTGTTGATTGTTTTCAAATTTCACTTGCTGACAAATAAAACCCACTAGCATTTGGAATTAATGGATAAAGGTGCATGTGAGTTTCCATCATATCTATAATCTTAGAACATAACTCTTTAGAACAAAAGCAAAAGCTTTTTTTTTGTGCTGATATTAGTTGTGATAGTGGTGTTGGATAAAATTCAATGTTGATAAAATCAAATATTTGGTGTGCTGAAGACGAACTATAATTAATTATTTTTGGATATGTATTATCTGCAAGATGTTTTTTAAGAGCTTTTTTCAGATGCCAATAACAGAGTTGAATTTTGATGTTTGACCAAGTTTTTAGCACAACTAAGATTTGTGTGAAATCTTTGTCGCTTAAAAAAAAACAACCATTCTTTAACCCCAAATTGAATAAAGTTCCAAAAAATTAAGTTAAAATATCTGTCTGTGCACTATCATTTTTTTTAGACCTCTTAATAAACAAATATGCAAGTGCAAATTCAAAACCATCATAGTGACCAATAACTGAATACAACTCATATCCTAAAGCATTTGTTTTATATGTAGTATCTGTAACAATTTTCTTATTATTTTTTAGTAAATCAAAAAATGGTATTGTAAAGCCCAAGTATTAAATATTTTGGCAGTTGATTAAAATAAGCTTGCATTCGTTTTCCTCTACTAGTATTTTCGTGAAATTTAATTGATCATTATCACGAATGTACTCTTTTTTCAAAAAATAAGTCCACTATGCATGAACTTGTTTTTGAGTTAGGTTTGGATTTTCCTGTTCTAATTGTCTGAAAATATCCGCAGGCATTAGATGAATTTTTTTTTTATTTTAGTTTTAATGTTGTTAGATATATTAAATCTGTCTGGATGCTTATGAAGTAAGTTATGCTTAAGATCAATTGTTGCTATGTTTATTTTTATATTAAGTGATATTTTTAAAATACCATTACAAGCAAATCGTTTGATGTATTCCCTATCATGCTGCTTATCAAAATCTTCATGTTTTCGTGAACGTTTAGCTAAAGTACAACTTTGGGAGCAGTTATACTAAAATGTATAGTGGTTATAATTTTTTTCTGATCTATAAATCTTATGATAACTATGTATGTATAATAATATTATTAATAAATAGTTTTATATAATTCTTAATATATCTGATATACCAAATATATTTTATCATTACAATACTTACATATAATAGTATCTATCAGCAGATTCTACTATTTCGGTAATTGCTTTTCCAAGTTCATGAGGTTCACTTTTTAAGGAAATAGTAGACACCTTATATGAAAACTCTATACCAGAATTTTCATTTTCAATATATTCGTTATTTCCAATATCAAGAATAGACTCAAATAAATTTTTTTTCATTTCTTCAGGTTTGATAAGGTTTTGATCATAAAGTACATTATTATCAAACTTTGTAGCATAATAAGGTTGTAAAATTTTTTTTGATATTCACTGCATGTTTTTGTAGATTTTCCCACCTTACTAATGAAAAAAGTTACATTGAAACGTTTACTATACCGATCACACTTGTATAAGCTATTAGAAAACATTGTATTTGTAAGAAAAGTTTTTTTTTGCTTTAACAATATTTTATTATAAGTAATTTAAATATAACACAAATGTTTCAGTACATAATTATTAAAAAAGCTAAAATATCGTGACTGATCAGGTGAAATTCTATTGGCCCAAATGTAGTATAAATCTTGTATAACTAAAAATTTTTAGTGGTGCTGTTGGGGTAGTTTAAGTTTATTACTTTAACACGTGATATTACATGTCAAGATGTTTTCTGATTGGCTGCTATTGATATAATTTTACCCTGATTACAGGGATAAAAATGCGAAATTTTTAATTTTTCAATTTTTCTCTAGCTTAATGAACTAGTAAGTTATTACTATTGCCTTTTTGTATAAATTAAATATACTATATATAACTTTTTGTATAATTTCTTGAGAAAAACATATATGACCATGCGAGGGGGAGCATTGGGGCTTCCAATACACTAATTAATCAAACCTATATAACGATAAGTATCGGTATAGTAAAAATTAATAGATTGGCAAATGTTCACTAATGAAAAACTAGTATCCAAAAATCGATACATCTCATATTTAACCTATTTTTTTCTAAAAATTTTTGGAGAAAATAATTTGCACTGTATAATAGAAAAAAGTTACAGTTTAATATTTTTAATTAATTTGACATTAGTAGGAATTAACAAACAACTAGTAAATATTCAAAAAAGTTGATTCACCTCGTATATAAGCTATTTTTTTTTAGCAATTTTTACAACAAATAATTCACATAGTATAGCATAAAGAAATTACAGATTAAAATTTTTGATTAATTAAGCATTTTTACGAATCGAAGCAACTTTCATTTTAGCTACCTAATTAGTCATGTGACAGGTTAATTTTGGTCACATGTTATATCGAAAGGTATAAAGTAATGATAAGTATATGTTTAATCTTGAAGGTACTATATTTTACCGTGCAAGATGGTGTGACACAATTTTTTACAATAGAAAAATTTTTAAATCACGTGTATTTTGTATCACATAGTGTATAAATAATATTTTAAAAATTGATCTACATTATTTGTCATGCCGGGCACCTTGTATAGTAAAATACAGTAAATATATAGTAAATAATATAGATCATTATCAATTATTAATGAAGTAATTGAAATTATAAAAAAATAGAGGTTTTCTTTTCTGCAAACTTAACTTATGATCTGATTATATCAATCCAACTTTCCCTGCCTAAATGAAGTTTGGTTTGTAGTTTAATACAACCTTGATAGAGATTTTAATAATGCTTGAAGAATTTTTCTCCAGGCTTTACTTGATGAGGCTGTTTGTATATAATAAACTCACTAGATATACACACTAATTGATTATTTTATATATAGTAATTAACTATAGTTAACTATTTTAATAACATTCTAATCACACCAAAAAAGCTTACTTTTATATACTAAAAAAAAATTAATTGTTATTATTGTGCAAATTGTTGCTGCAAAGTGGCACGTGCTTATTTGCCAAATTATATGTACGGTAGCTCAGGAGAGTCTCTGGACACCTACCAACACATGAAGTAGACAGCAATATATATATATTGCTGCCTACTTACATTAGGTTGTTATTTACTTATAAGTATATATTGTTATCTACTTATAGGTATATTGTTACTTACTTGTTTTATAGCTACTTATTTTGACCTTTATTAAGCTTGCGTCATCATTCGAGTGATAAACAATTCACGCTTGCATTGTTAGATATATTAGTACTTGCTCCATTATTCGAGTAACAAATGATTCACACTTGCATCATCATTTGAGTAATGCCAAATTTGAGTTCACATCGTTATTCGAGTGGTATTTCCCGATTTGGGTAATGCTATATACATGTTAGCAAGTATGCTATCTGTCACTGAAAAATCTTTGGTGACAGCTTTGGTAACAACTTTGGTGATGGATTTATTATTAAATTTTGGCTTTAAATTCTTTTTTATCTTGTTCTTATATACTGTCACCAAAATCACTAAAAATAAAGTAAAATTCTAGAAAAAAAATAAAACTTTTTTTTATAGTATACCTTTGATATATACCTGATATATATATTATATACCTACCTTTGATATATATATATATAATATAAAAAAAAAAGAAAAAAAGCTGGAGAAATTTGATCTTTTTTAGAGTTTTCAGTGATAGACATCTAGAAAGCTTTCCAAAAGTTTAAAAATGCAGAATTTGATAGAAATCTTAACTCTGAAAATTTTCTGTCACTAAAAAATTTTGGTGACACTTGGCTATACTAAGATATCGCATATATACTTACTATATATTTTTTATAACACTATTTTGTGCCATCTTCTTCAGCTTCTCCCGATGATAGTAATCCTAAAAACAATACTTACCAGTATGAGTTCTACATGCTCTATATATCGAAGATGTTAACTTAACACAACCATATTCTTTATATAGTATACGGGTAGGAAAATCCCAGTAAATTGTACACCCCTCAGGTCGATAGCAACCTTGATTACATACTTTCCCACTTCTAAGAATATAAGAACAATGGTAAAATCCTATATCTAAAGTTTTGCTAATACATTTTTTAAGTAGTATATATTGTCTAATACTAATTATCTAAAATAATTAATTTTTATTTTGAACTTTTCTCTAACCACTATTATAGTTTTAAATAATAACATAATATAACTATCCAAAATATTCAAAATTTCTAGGAAACTATTGATCACATGCCAGAGATAGATGAAGAAAATAGCAGGGCATTCTACTGCCAAGGCCAAAGCCGTAAGCGTTGCTGAATATAAGTATAAAATCCACAATAATAGTGTAAAGCTAAGACAATTTCTTGGTACTGATTCTGTAGATGAAATAGAAGCTATACTTAGTGAATGACAAGGACATTTATTACACAAATTTATTGATAGTGATGACCCACTTCACTCTATTATCGATTTTGATTTATCTAGAAAAAAATTTGATAAAATCGAACCCAAGCTTACATCTAAAGAGATAAAAAATATACTTTATAATGCTTTTACAAAAACTTGTTTGGATATATTTCTAGAATGGGACAAAACTACTATCACTATTGTCAGTAGTAGTAATTCAAAAAAATGTTTTATCATATTTTAACATTTGAAATATATCTTAAGAATATTGTCAAAGTCACAGTATTTACTAAACTCATTCGTAAGAAACTTCTAGTGGGTTTATAAGACAAAGAAATTGTTAACAATATCACAAATAAAAGATCATTTTTATTACGAATACTTGGAACACCCAAAATTTATTGAAGAGATGAGAGAACATGTACGTGTAAAGAAAGTATTAGGTTCCAAAAATAGGAATTTTTTGATTTTATGCTTTGTCCTCCTAATGATGAAGTGCTAGTTATAGATAGCCCGATCTTAGAAATCCCAAAAAAAATAGTGAAAAATAGTAAAGCAGATAATAGGATCATTGGAGCTAAAGTCGATTATGTAGAGAAACTACTCAATATAATGAATATCGAAAGTTTTGATGTTTTATACCCAACTCCTATATCTTCAAATACTGTATATTCACTTTAAGATATATAAAAAGATCACATTGCCCTCTATATAATCAAGAACATAGCAATGATAATGCATATGTAGTCCGAAACAGAAAAACCTAACATTACTATTGTCATCGTGCAGATCAAGATATGCCTAAAGGTATAAAAAAAACCTTTATTAAAACTTATTATTAATGAGAATGTTAAAAATCAGGAAAAAACTTCATCACCACCCCAAAAAATAGAATATTCCAGAATTTCTAATCCAAATGACTACTTCGTATAGAGTGACTTAATTGATATATGTATATCAGAAGAAATATATACTTGTAATCAAGTTTATAAAGCAATACAAGCAACTATTGCATATATTCAAACAACTTCAAGATTATGGATACTTAAAATAGAAGATTCAAATAATGGTTTTTACTACGATATAGCACCTAAGCTAGATTTTGCCAAGTATAAAATCAAAATGATAAAATATGGAGGTGAAACAATGAAGTTAAAAATATTAATAGACCGAGTAGTTATTAAAGATCTAATTCTTTATCATAATATCAATTTTCTACCATACTCCCCAAATACTTCTCCAATAAATACTAAATTCTTTAATCTTTTTTTAGGATTCAAAGCTCAACCAATGATTGAGATTAATCTAGCTATTATTAATTCAATTCTATGGAATGCAAAAAATATAGTCTCTGATGGGAATGAAGAGCTTAGTAAATATTTCTGATACTGGTACACATATCTAGTACAACAACTATTTAAAAAACCTGGAACAATTCAAGTATTGCGTTCCTTACTAGGTTGTAGAAAAAATATCTTAATTGATTTTATAGATAAGAAAGTCCTCAGATCAGAGCTTTTCTATGCAACATCCAATCTTGAAAAAATATTGGGGCATTTTAATAGTTGCATTTAGGCTTGTAAACTAATTGTTATGAATGAAACAGGTATGTTTAGTAAAGATTAGAATAAGTATAATGATTATCTTAAATCACTTATTACAGAAGATTATTTAACAGTTGAACGCAAAGGTATCGAACCAAAAGTCATAAAAGATTATGCTGGATTTATGGTATTAAGTAATCATGATGCTCCCACTCCAAATAGAAATTGGTGATCGGCGTATCATGTGTTTTGATATATCTTCCTGTTGTAAAAGTAACACAGTATATTTTAAGAATTTGGCCAAAGTACTCAAGCACCCTGACACACCAAATATAGTTATAGTTTATTTACTTAGTCTTAATATCTCAGATTGGAATCCACAAAATATTTCTACTACTAAAATGAAAACAGATATAATATTGGAACATTTACCAAACCTGAAATAATTTATAATTAATCATATTTCATCTTGGCCAGAAAATAGAACTAAGAATTCAATATATTCAAATTTATATCAGGAATATCATATTTGGTATGAAAGAAATGGTAAAAATCTATTTACTAACAAAAAATTTAGAAAAA